AAAGCATAACTCATCTGGAATACGACTTGGTTCTATGTTAGCCATAAGCTTAAATCCAATGATACACAAGTGGAAACAGTTGTGCTTGCACTAGATTGTGTGCAGTATCTCGTGCTTTTCTCCCTATATGTTGCAGTGCCCAGAAATTGGTTGCACCAGATCTTGTGCAAATGGAAGCTGAAGTGGGGGTAAAATAAGTTTGGCTCAGTGCAAGTGTCCCCTACATTCTTTTTCTCATGTGTCCATTTGTACAAGAGCTCCAGGGAAAGCAGAAATTTTGCAATGGATCCAGCTAGCAGTATCTATTTTGAAGTTATATCCCCAATATTTACTTGGCTTTTGGAATCCAGGAGATGTTTTAAAACAGAATTGGTGAGGGACAACTTTTTACTCTGTATTCATATTGACAATGTTGATTGTGCTTGGGCCAATTGTGTTTCCTGTATCAAAAAAATTGGGCACTGTTGGGGAAGCCATTCACAAGTGATGATTGTATTTTCATAGTTTATTGCAGCAGTGATTGAATTCATAGTTTCAGCATCTTTTGAGCTGGGCTGTATTTGCTCTGCTAAAGTCCAAGAGGTACAGAATGCAATTACAGAACAAAGTAACAGGTCTTCATAGTGAAAAAAATGACCTTGTGGCTTTAGATAAAGCCTGTATAAACTTAAATAGTAATATATTACTAGCTGAAATTAGTAACTTTCATATTCTAGAATGTTTCACACAAATTTATGCAGGTAATCTTGCTTAATTTAAGAGGCCTAGTAATTGACGTTTTGGAGTAATTGTTTATCCTTAGACCTTCAGTTCACACCAGTGGTGTAACTGGTATGTTGTTTTCTGTGAAGTACATGAATCACAGCGGCTTTAAACTTTTTTTTTATAGCCCTACCTGAACCTATCCTTCCATCCCTCCAAAAAAATTACCCAGTAAGTGCTTCTTATAAATTACTACATAATATGTTTATAAAAACTGGTTATATCTACAATATGAATGTTGCTATTTAACTGTTAAATTTGGGTAATGGCAAAATGTGCCTTGTGGTGGTGATTGTTAGAACCGCACAGTGAGCCACTTGTGTGTGTGTGTGTGTGTGTGTGTGTGTGTAGAACGTACAGAATGAACTTTCCCTTTGTTTTGTCTGAGCGAATAGCCAGGAAGCAAGACCCATGTTAATTCAATGGGCCTTACTTCCAGTTGAGTGTACCTAGGATTGCAGCCTGTTTTCAGATATATTGGTGTATATGGTCTCTTCTGCATTTTTTTGGCATGACTACACTGTGGGTTCTCTTCTTCTTTGGTGCTGTTCTGGATCTTAATGCTCAAACACGTTAGACTTTGGCGTTGTGGTTCACATGCTCCTGAGCAAATGCTGTTTTCTTGCTTCCAGAGTATGCCTCAGGATTTTGTTGGGTCAGCTAGCATCACCTAAGGGATGAGTGACTGAGGACTGCTTGCCCTGCCATCCTCCTACATCTTTTTAAATGTTCTTGCAGTAAATATGCAGTCAAGTGCTTTTAGTATAGCCATAGTAGCTGCAAATATATCTGCAAGAAGAAACAATAAAGTCTACTGTACGCTAGGTGGGAAATGTGGAAACTCACTGGCCTCTTTGTCACTGAGGTGGTGTATCTGTGTTCATCTTGTTAAAATTTCATACAGCATGTGCAAGCCCATATGATTAAAGATTCTTCCTTTCATGTCAAGGAGAGTCACAGTGAGAATCGTTCTCCGTATAGCTTTCTGTATGGAGGGAGGTGAAGTTTTTAAAGTATTTCTTTAGTACATTTTTGTCCTGCTGTTCTTTCAAGAACCTTGGGGCAACATGAATCAGTTTCCCTGCCTCCACTTTACCCTCAGAAGAACTCTGGGAGGTAGCTTAGGCTAAGAGTGAGTGACTGGCCCATGGTTACCCAGTGAGCTTCCATGGCAAAATGAGAATATGAGCCTGGATAAACCAGCACTTTAACCTCAGCACTGGGCAGGCTTTTGTTTAATGGTGGTGGGTGCCAGCCAAACTTGCTGTCTGAAACTCAACCCCAGTTAGGGTTGCCAGCCCCCAGGTGGGGCCTGGAGATCTCCCGCTTTTACAACTGTCTCCAGCCGACAGAGATCAGCTCCCCTGGAGAAAATGGCTGCTTTGAAGGGCGGACTCTATGGAATTGTGCCATGCCGAGGCCCCTCCCCTCCCCAAACCCCGCCCTCTCCTGGATCCCACCCCCAAAGTCTCCAGGTGTTTTCCAACCCAGACCGGGCAACCCTAGCCCCAGTGCATGTTTAGTGCTTTGCTAATGTGTATTATGGTTTTGAAAACAGGGACACATTTTTGTCTCGATTAAAGTTGGTTGGTCATCTTCTTAGCAGCTCAAAAGCACCCTGCTTTAGAAGAAGCTAGGTAAGTCTATCTCTTTCTAAACTCTCTGAGTAAGAGACCAGTGGACTTATGCCAGTGTGATTATGGGAAAGACTTCTGAACAAGTCACCTTTGCTGTTCAGTTAGGAAATGAGGCTTCTGGCCCTTGGAATGGATAGCTGAAGTTTCCACATTGTCCCAAATAAACCATTTGTGGGAAAGAGCTATATACTACACATTAGAGCTGCTTAGTGAATGGTATTGATAAGGCATGACTCTTGGTAACTGAGTCACTTCCCAGAGTAATGGACATTTTTTTAAAATGGTGCTAGGTTAGTGGGTTGTGGCAAAAAACAATAACATATAGCTTTTTAAGATAAACATGTTTATTGTTGCATACATTTTTGTGGACTAGAGCCTATTTTACAAATGGGTGAAGTTGTTAGCTGAGTCTGTAGGTACATTTGCCCAGAATATGGAGAAAAGGGGGGAAACAGGTTGGCAGGCCAAGCAGGGTAAGCGATGGCTGTACGTACATCAAAGCTAAAAGAAACACATAATCTAGTTGAATGAGTAAGACTCAGTGAAATGGAATAGAACTTAATTAGCTGTTCAGGTATTTTTTATTAGGGGCTTTCTTGGCAAGGAGTGTGAGAGAGACAGAAAAGTTTGTATAAGGCCTATTTGCTCCTTGGGTTCATTTGAAAAACAAATATTATGGAAGATGCATGATGTATTAAAGACAGGTTAAAACTGGGGTTAAAAAGTTCTTTGTCATCAAATAGTGTAATAAATCCCTTTGGTGTAAGAGGAACATCATTTGAAAAGGAATCATGCATTTATTTCTAACCGCAGACACTGGAAACAATATCCCCATTTTCCAATAGCCATTTTTAAAAAATCCTATTGTCATTACCTTTCCAAATGTAGTTAGTGTGTGTTTAGAAAGAACTTACTCTTGCATCATCCAATTCACTGCTCACCATGTTGGGTATCCTGCTAGTTAGGTGTTAAGAGTTGTGCTGAACCATCTCGTCAGAAAGCACCATGTTATCTGCGTATGGTTACAACCTTGCATTGAAAACCTGCTTTAAATATGCTGATCATGCACCGTCTTAAGACATCTAACATCAGCAACTGCACAGTTTTTGAAGATTAGCAATATGCACAGTGGAAAACTTTCCAACATATGCTAGGATTTCAGAATAAGCAGTTTTATCTGTGTCTCAGTGACCCCCCCCACCCGTGCCTTATGTTAATGTTAATATAGCATTTTATTTTTAAAGAAAAGTATGATTTAGTAACTGCTTAGCCATTGTACTTTATAGCTTGTTTCTCATCTTCATATCCACTGTAATGTCAGAATAATTCTTAAAGCTGGTTTTACTGTTCTAGTAAATCTAATTAAGCCTTTCTGTTAGTATAAGTGGACTGCTAAAAATCAGTTTTTGATGCTCAACTGAATTTTACATTCTTGATGAAGAGAATAGCTGGTTATACGCACAACTGTGCCATTTGTATGGTAACTTGCCATTGTGTTAAAGTCTTTTGAATTTGGCGATTTTTTGATGCTGCTAATCAGTATAATTTGCTAAAATGATCTCCTTTCAGTCCCCATTGAAATGTTGGGAATTATGTATGTGTCAACTAATGACATGGGGTTGGATCCAGATCACTGTGAAAAGATCTCTGCTCTGGAAGGGAAATTTGCCTTCCCCTCCTTTCTGCCACCCCTCTGTGCCCCGCAAATAAAAACTGTTCCTGGGGAGCAAGTTTGAAATGTGACCCAGGAGTGTAGCAGGAAGGGTGGTGGCAGTGGGTGGAGGGCATTTCTCCACCTCCTCTTGAGGAGCTTCTGCTCCATTGGCAATGTGCTGGGTGAGAAGGACTTGTTTCCATTTCTCATCATCCCCTGGGGGTCCCTCTGACTTTGAGGCTCCATTTACACATTGCTAAGTCATTATGTGTGTTGGGGAACAACACAAGGGCTTTGCATCTCGCATGCAGTGTGTGCCTTCCAGATATGCACTGGCTGTTTTCTGTGTGCAGCCACAGAACGCAGGGAGAAGCAGTGTTAGCCTCCCTTCTTGCTGTTTGTGTGTCCTCAAACTGCCCCATGTAGCTGCCGTTGGAGTGTTTTTTTTGCAGAAGATCCAATAGCAGCTCCATGGGGGGAGAAAATAGAAGGTGGTGGTGGGGAGACTACAGACACTTCTCTCTGCATGCCGTGGTCACAAACAGAAAAGTGCTGGCATGCATTGGAGAGGCACAAAACTCATCACACACATGCAAAGGCATCATGTTGTCCCTCAACAAATACAGGGACTTTGTAATGTGTAATGAAGCCTAAGAAGCAGGTGGGGTTTGTGGGGGGCGGCGCAGATATCAGAAAGAAGAGGAAGGTGGTAAAGATCCTTTCCATAAGCTCTTCTCATTGTAGTCTGCATCCAGCCCAATGTGCTTTTTTAGCAAATTAAAAAAAAATGTCTGATGGGTTGCATTTGTATCCGAGTATGTATACATATGAAGGTGAGTACAACTCTTCCAGGATCTTTCCCATGCCATTCAGTAAAGCAGTTTTAGAATACTGAGTGAGCAAAATCAGGCATCCTCCATTGTATGATATGGCAGACACCATCTGGCGCATGGCATCTTTTGTACCAGTGGATCATTGTAGTTAGCCATTTAGTGCATGCTGTTGTGGTTAAGCACTGATCAGGATAAATTTGTGCAGTGCAAATAGATGAGCATGCACCAGATGAAAATATATACCTCATTGGTTAACATCTGGTAGCCAGAAGGCTTGGATTTAACATCTGCTCTGTCATTACTTGGATACCCTTACTACTGAGGTTCAGTTAATCATGGCTTGGCATTACAAGAGTAAGCCTTCAGTTTTCATTTTCCCCTCTACTTTAAGGTTGCCAGTAGGCCTGGAGAAAAAAATGCTTTGTCCCTTTAATGGAGGTTTAATGGGATGTTATTTGCTGGGCAATGTTTTTTCCCTTCATGCCATGAAAAGCTTCAGCTGCCCGTTTCCATGCAATAATCTTCTGTGAAAGGACAGGACATCTTTCTGCAGGCCTGTAGGCAGCACTACTTGACCCCTATGACTTCTAATTCCGATTTAGAAATCCTTCTAACCTAGGACTTCCAGTGGCTGCATGCTGGTATGTGTAGCTCGTTTGTTATAATTTAAGCATCGTAGCTTGATTTATTAGCCTTGCAGAAAGCAATGTTCCTTTGGGTTGAGATAAGTGTACGGATGTTTTCAAATGTATATACCAGGTCTGCAAACCCACAGTGGTAGCATGAGGACCTTGAAACTGAAAACCATTTCTATACTTGGTGTGCTTAATATCTACAGGAATTAATATTAATTCATAACATATGTCTGTATACAGCTGATATCACTGACCACAGTAGCTCTCTGCACAAGTTACAGTGAATGCATGTACAATCTGTGTATAGTGTACCCTTGATTTTTTAATAATAAGTAATTTGCATGTAACATTCAATGCATGTATAATGGAACATATGAAATAAACCCCACTTTTATCCTTTTACTGGTCCCTGGTTTCAGTTGCAAAGTGAACGCCAATACATGCAGACTGTTCATGCATTTGTTGCACCATGTAAACAGGGCTAGTGTGTTTCAGAAACAGTGGATCAACATTCCGTTAGAACTATTGTGGGGTTCGTTTAGATGTTCTGACTATCCAGTTCCTCATTGCTGCAACACCCCAACCTGTAGCTCATTTTGTTTGCAAGGTTCTTCCAATCCTCCAAACAGTTTCAGGACAAATAGTGGGCCATTTGAGGAAGGCAAGGAGAAATGGGCTCCACCATCTCCTTCTGTGGCACAAAACGTCTAATAGAAGACCAAGTCCTTGGCAAAGAGTTAACCATAATTCTTATATCACTCTGCAAGCTAGCTAAGCTGGTTTAGTGAAAGCTATATCAAGGCAGCAAATAATATGTAGCTTTTGTGTGGGGGAGATATGTACATGATTGGGGGAGGAACAAGTTCACTGAAAACAGCATTGTGCTCTGGGATCCAGAGGCTTCCTCCACACAGATGTCTTCTGCTCACAGATTGGTCGCCTTATAACCTTGGCCTCGGACGTTGTGCCAGAAGATACATCCAAAAATGTTCCATTTGTGCAAGAGCTTGCATGAAAAGCTTGTGCGACCCTTTGCATGACTACTGTTCACCATATTTATTGCAGCAGTGATTAAATTATTGTGCAAGCTTCTGCACAGACATTTCAGGAGCAGTGCTAGTGGGTGTTTTCCTTCTGCTCACTGTCCTTTGGATTCAACCCCAGTGTAATTTTGGTGGTTTTTCTAAATGTATAGGGTTGGATCCTATGCATTCCCAGAGTAAGGGACCGATGGAGGTTGGTCATGGACACTGAAAAGGTGATTGGGCGGGGGGGGGGGGGGCTGTTGACAAAGTCACACAACTTTCATTTTATTCCATCTGAAGAGAAACCATAGAATATACAGCATTAGTAGGAACTGAAGAGTGTGATATAGGTGAAATTCCCCACCCCTCGCTGCATGTAGCAGGTCCGCCAACCTCTGGTATTGCCTCTTCAGCATTTGCAGGGGATGGTGGGAAAGATCTGCCAACACCCACAGTAGGCAGTGCACAGGATCCAAGGCTTAGTGTTAAAAGCGTCTGGATAACTATAGCGCTCTGTAGACATTCAGTGAACAATAACCTGTTTCTTTTTTGTCTCATTGTTTTTGTAGGAATCTTTTGATCCTACTATGCAGCTGCACCTTGTGCACCAAGCCCCATGCACCATTCCTCCTTACCTTTCCAAAAATGAATCAACTCTTGGAGACCTCTTGCTGGGCTTCCTGAAATATTATGCTACCGAATTTGAGTAAGTGTTTAGCTTTTCATTTCTTGAAGTTGTTTGCTTTTATTCTTTCTTGCTCTGTTCTTTCTGCATTGCCTACAGTTTCCACATTCATTCTACAGTCTTTTAAGAGGAAATGCTTCATTTTTAATTTTGGTTTTTTTAAAGTCGTCAAAATACACTGAATTGGGATGTTAAGGCTGCCTGTCTAAATGCTTACATCATGTAAAAAGCAGTCAAAAATGATGAGCATGGAGTAGTAAAGTGTGTGCATAACTCTCTACCATAAAGAATCAGTGGGACTGTGCTTAATATTTGCACTACAGCCAGTTGTCAGTAGTCTTCAGAATTTATAGGTCTCTGAAAGAGAAGGTTTCCTGTACGTAACCCCCATGATTTAACATCTGAAGGCCCCTATTACATATGCTTCCCTTTCAGGGGTACTGCCGAAAACACAGTTAAGATACGGGGACTTCCTTGAATGTGGAACTCTAGTTAAGGAACCCTGCCAAGGGTTCACATGCCTGTCACAGTGGCTGCTGCCAGTTGTTCTGCTCTGCCAGTCTATTATCATGTGTGTCAGCTCTCAAAGCAATTTCCAGTGGAAGATGTTGAAGCAATGCCTCTAGCAACTGATGCCCGATGGTGTGATGATTTTGAGGAACTGAGATTTTATTTTAAATGTCTTTTATTCTGATAACTGTTGTGTCATAGATTTTTTTAATTGTAAGCCACCAGGAGTACCTGAATTGGTTGACCTCCCCCCCTCTCTTTTCCGTTGCATCTGAAGAAGTGAGCTTCCATTCATGAAAGCTCATGCTGAAATGAAAACGTTGTTAGTGTTTAAGGTGCTCCTGGGCTTCTGTTTTGTTTTGCTAACAGGATAGAAACTCTGTAAACATAGATCTCTGAAGAATGTATTAGAAAAATTAAAATTAGTTGTGCAGCAGCAGCAGTGGCAAGCTACTGTCATAGTAGAGTTATCAAATATTCAGTATTTTGCCTTTTTTATGCAATAGATGTGGTTTTTTAAATGCTACTTGTATTGTTTTGTGCATTGTAGTGGCTTCCTTAAATACAAAGTGTGTTTATGTTTTATTTTTCTAAAAGCTAGTTTTCTATGTTTTAACCTGGACTATTTCTGAGCATCGGAGGGCATTTATGTTAGCTCGTTTTAATGTTCTTCCCTCTCCAGTACTGTACGGGAGGTTTAAAAAAAATTGTCATACTCCTCTAGGCTTTGTTCTTGCGGTCTGGGGGAGATAGAAAGTACTGAACATGTTCTCCTGCACTGTATATTTTACTGTGATATTCGTGCCATATATCTAGAACCTCTGCTACAAATTTGCGAGGGTCAATCTGATGTTTGCAAGATGTTTTTTTTACGATCTTCCCATAACTCTGAGATTACTGATTTGGTGGCTAAATTTCTATGTTGTGCCACTGAGAGGAGAGGAATGTTTCAACTCCAGCAATGAAGGTTGTACCTTTTATTCCTTGATGATCTATGTTTTGTTGTGATGCCAATAAAGGTAGCTGATGACGATGATGAACCTGGAAATATTTAGGGAAGAGGCAGAGAATAGCTTCCTGAATCCTTCTTCCATTTTTTACAGCCTCTCTTAAAGTCTGGGTATCCTGTTTCATCTGCTGTCTGAGTGAAAGCAGCAGGTTTTTGTCTTCTAAATAGGTAGCAAAGCAAGTGTAGATTGGGTTGATGTCCTATTTGCATCCAGTAAGGATTGCTAGGGAATTTAAAATTAAAAGGCTTTCTCCTTACAATGGTCTCCCTACATGAAAAGTTAAATATTTGGTAGGTAGATGCGAAATTTTGTGAAATAATAAAACTTTTATCAAGAAACATTCACTGGAAGTTTGAGTCCCTTGAAGAGCTTACACAAGAGGAGAAGAGTCAACCTCTGCTGAGCCTTCCCCTTCTTGGTGTAGCACCCATCTCCCAACATATGCACACTGTTTTGTGTTCTGTTCCCATGAGTCCTCCCCATCTTCATAATCTTTTTAATATTTTTGTATTTGTGTGTGTGTTCATGCGCATGTGTCTGCAGCTGGAAGTCATGTTGACCTCTGGTGACTGACCCCTACTGTGGCCCTGGAGGATATTCAGAGAGGTGGCTGAATAAAGCCTGCCGCTGTCCTCCTGACTTGGTATTCCAAGGAAGTCTCCCATCCAAGTACTAACCATAGTCGACCCTGCTTAACTTCCAAGATCTGGCATGATTGGGCTTGCCTGGGCTATCTAGGTCAGGGCTTCATCAGCTTTTGAGGCTTCGTTACAGGACCTGATTTATATGCCTTCTGTATTTATGGTTCATTGAATACAACCTAACTTTAAGGTAGAATTTGCACAATGTTATAATAATGTACCATGATAACTATATCTTGGAACAGATATAAACTAAAACTGCCATAAAATGTACCATTGGGGTATGGGGGCTCCCCAGTCCACTACTAAGCCTCATGAAAGTGATTGAATGCTGCCAGAAAGACGATTGTGATGGAGAGTAAATTTGATGTCCACTATCCCTTTGCCCAGCTCAGATAGTGACATCAACAGAGAGTGAGGATGTGTGACACTTCCTACCCTCATGGCGTGCCTGATATACTCCCCTACTCCCGTAAAAGGCCATGGCTGTCATTCACTCATATAAGAAAAATAAGCTCCTGCCCTTTGCAGTAGTCTGATGTTGGATAAGGAGAACCTTCTGCCTTTTCGAAACGTAGGGATTGTTCCCATAACACTACACGTGGTTTAGTATTTAATATGATCCAAGCCACCATTTTGTCAAAGGAAATTCCATAATCGTCTTTTGGTAAGATATCAAGAAATGGCTGAAGATCTGTCTAGCAAGACTTGAGCATTTGGGCAAAGATTCCACCATCCTGGATAACCCAATTTGTACTGTATAGCATGACAGTTCCTAATCTAACATGCATCATACATGAGAAACCATGTGGTTATATGCCAAGCCTGCTGTCATATATGACTTAATTAAAGGCTTCTTCTTTCGTGCCAGACAGTATTTTGTTATGTCCGATTTTTATGGCTTCTGATTTATCCTTCAAAACAGATTCCAAGCTATGGTTTAATCCAGGTTGAGGCAAGAATTTAAACAATACTTCATAAATTGGTCAAAATAACAAACTCTGGTTTGTCACAAAAGCAGAAATCTTTAATAACCCCGTACCCGAGGGGAGCATGTGAACTCAAGGATCCCCCAGCTCATTTATCTCTCATTGCATGCAAGGCATATCATAGTTTCCCTTCTAACACAAAGGCCAGTGGATAAGTATTTTGGATATGAGCAAAGCAAGGCAAAATTTTGTTTTGTTTTTTAAACCAGGGTGCAGATTCCATAAACCTTTTCTTTATTAAATGGGAAGTAAAAAAGTAATTACAAAAGTGAATTACCCCTTTGATTTGGTAAAGCAGAAATGCAAATAGATCAAAAACATTTCATACTGAAAGTAGCTTGTTAATATGTTGACTTTTTGAAGTAACAATAAGCTCTTTTTTGTGCTGAAGATGCAACTGCTTCTTTTAAGTGATGCGAGGCCAGATGGATTCTAGAAAAATTGTTTGTTTTGTTCAGAACGCAGCAGAAAGGCATTACTGCCTGCTGTGATCTGCTTAATTCTGTTACATAACTCTTCCCTTTAGCTTATTTTTCTGTAATTTATTGACAAGTTGGGATGCAAGCCAAATGATGTTATAACATTTTTCTTTCCTCTAACCTACGTTTTGCTAATGAGAGTCATCCAGTTCAACATCGGGGTGTGTGTGTGGGGGGGGTGTCCATAGGCTAATGGCCAACTCTGATTATCTCTCCCCACCCCAATTTCTGTCTGGTCCAGTGTGATATTGCCCTCATTGTTTTGTCCCAGTCAATGCCACTTTCATAATTCTCTTGTATGGAACATGCAGGCCTCAGAACGGGATATCTAAAGGATTTTGATGGTCATCAGGTACCATCTCCTTTTGTGCTTCCTGCTTACTACTACATTTCTAGGGGCTACACACTGCTGTTACTGGCTCTGTCAAAGTGCTGTGCTTACAGAGTTGGTGAGGGTCATACTCAGTTTTTTAATAAGAGTTTATTTTAAAATGTTGCACTGTTTTTAAAGGTTTCTGAATTTCCCCCCCCTCTTGCTAGTTGGAGCGGTCAGATTATTTCAGTTCGTGAAGCCAAAGCAATTCCAAGGCCTGATGGTATCGAATGGAGAAACAAGTTCATTTGTGTAGAAGGTAAATTGTGGAGCCAGGTTTATAGCTTGAGTGTTTTAGTAGCAGCAAAGGGAGTCTGAGCAGTATTTCACACAGACATTTCAAAAAAACCCCACAGCTTCAGCCAAATTGTGGTTTGAGGAGAATGAGCCAAGAAGCCCTTGAGAATACGAGTTCCTTCTCTGTGTCCCTCATGTGCTGTGCTGAGATTAAAAAATCTGGTTTAGAACTAACTGCAGTTTATTGTGATATTCAAATCAGGCACTTTATTAAATTGTGGTTTGTTTCTTGCCTGTGAACAAGGATTCTAAAATCACTTTTCAGATTTGATGCCATGACAAATTTTGGTCAGTTCTGTAATGGAAAATCTTCAGTGGCATGTACATTGAACCACTGTGCTTAGAGAGCCAGTTTGGTGTAGTGGTTAAGTGCGCGGACTCTAATCTGGGAGAACCGGGTTTGATTCCCCACTCCTCCACTTGCACCTGGCTGGATGACCTTGGGCAAGCCATAGTTCTGGCAAAGCTGTTCATGAAAAAGAGCAGTTTCTGTCAGACCTCTCTCAGCCCTACCTACCTCACAGGGTGTCTGTTGTGGGGAGGGGAAGGGAAAGGAGTTTATAAGCTGCTCTGAGACACCTTTGGGTAGTGAAGGGTGGGGTAGAAATCCAATCTCTTCTTCTTCTTAGGTATAGGGTGCAGTGTTTCACTGTCTATCCAGTTCATCTGAGGTCTTACAAGGATTGGGGAGGGAGAAAGATGCTAAACCCCACCAGAGTCACACCCACACAAAACAGATTAAAAACCCAGGAACAATTCTGCCTGACATGGCATAGGGAAATGTAGACAAAGAAGGCACATTTTAAACAATGGATTGGATCCAAAGAACTGTTTCATAATTCATAGGAGGGGATTTTCTCCCCTTCCACTGCAGACCACTGAGCCCCTGCTGGGATCAAGAGAGCCTCACAAATGTCATGGGAGGAGAAGTGGGGGAGGCGGGGGGCGGGGGTCTGCTGTGGCAGGGAAGATAGGCATGAAAACCTTTGACCCCACTCTTCCACTAGCAGAATGTGAGCAGAACAGCACCTCTGGATCCAACATAACGTTGATGTCCCTTTAGCTGGAGCCTTTCTTAAAGCCAAGCAAAATAAACATGTTGTGCCCATCTGCCTGACATACTTAAAAGCACTTTAATTCATTATACAATCCTGAGCTCCTCATGGCTTCATAAAGATAAACATGTGGAACTCTGCACTAGAACTGCATTGTCAAATACGGCATATTGTGGCCCATGCTGTGTGTAATGCCACATGGAGATACAACCAGCTAATAGCCTATAGTGGAAAGAGACTGATTCTCTTTCACACAGAGAAAAATACATTAATGTTAAGGTTGCCATTAAGGAGAAGTGTGTGTGTGTGTCTGCAAGTAGTCTGACTGATTCCAGTAAAATAACTTGTTTGTAATTATTGGTATGGCTGCTGCTTTGGATAGATTAAAAAAGCTAGCACAAGCTACACTACTAACAATATTCTCTTAACATTTCCAGAACCTTTTGATCGAACAAACACTGCTAGAGCAGTACATGAAAAACAGAAGTTCGACATAATCCTAGAGGAATTTCGAAAGGTAATATATGCAGCAAACTTTACAGAAGTGATTGTATATAAGTAAAAGTTTTGGAGGAAATGTTCTATACAAATTAAAAGGTGGGGCACATTTGTGTTTCTCTTACCTCTTACGCCCCACACCAGCGAGTGTGCTATTGGACTAAATAAGAAAAATGTAGTAGAAAGTAAAATCCAACTATCAACAGTAGTAGATGATACTATAATTTTTTGCACAATGTTCTGAAAGTACTGAAGCAAAAATGGCTTAGAGCGATTATCTCCCAGTGCTGAAAAAGAAGTCCAAAACAATGCAGTTTTGAGCCTCTTTTATACTTCCCATGTGATATGGAAATTAGCTTCCTTAACTTTTTGCAGAATTTCAGTGGGTACACCCAAGCACTTGAGCACACCTCAGTTAGTCCTTTGGTCTTGCTACATTCATATTTTAGTGGTAAACATTGCTGTCAACACCCCTAAAGGGTTTTAAATGGCTTTAATATAGGGTTGGGAGCTGCGGTGGCTCAAGTGGTTAAGACGCTGAACTGCAGGCTGTGGAAGGTCAGTAGTTCAGCGGTTCAAGACCCGGGTGCCGCAAGACAGGGTGAGCTCCTGTCTCTAGTTCCAGCTCCTGTCAACCTAGCAGTTCGACAGCAAGAAATTGCAAGTAGATAAATAGGTACCACTTCGGTGGGAAGGTAACAGCGTTCCATGCGCCTTGGTGTTTAGTCATGCCGGCCACATGACCACGGAAACGTTTTCAGACAGCGCTGGCTCTTCGGCTTTGAAACGGAGATGAGCACCGCAACCCTAGAGTCGGATTCGACTGGCTTTCGAGCAAGGGAACCTTTACCTTTTTAATATAGGGTTAGACAAATTAATGGAAGAAAGATCAATCGGACTCCATATTCAGAGGCAGTTTGTTGCTCAGTGTCCATTGCGGGGAGAACTTGCATTGCAGGGGTTACTTTGGCCTCTGTACATCTTCCGGGGCATTTGGTTTGGCCCCTGTGGGAAATGGGATGCTAAACTAGGGGACTATTGTTCTGATTTTAGATACGGTCTTTCCACTATATTCATTGCTTATTTTGTTCTGTCCCACAGTCATGGCAAAGATTGAGAGACAGGAGAGACTTGGCCTGTATACTACCTTTAAGAGCAACTATTCGGAAGAGATAACTGGCTTCTATCTCTGTGACTGAGACATAAACCCCCAAATGAAGTTTTGTCTCCTCTCTCTGCCCCTGTACTTTTTTTATGCCCTAAGAGGAGCTTTTTCTTTCAAGCTTTTGTCAAGGAGACTTTTGCAAGAATGAAGAAGAAAATCCAACCTTTATAAAATTCATTCAGACCATTTGAAAGACTCGCTTTTTGAAACCACTTGATTGGTGGCTAATAAAGAGAGTGCTGTAATACGAATTTACAAATCTGTTGGAGTTTATTGATTTATTGTTGTAGTGGTGAGTCAACCACACTGAATATTAAGACATGGGGATGGTGAATTATGTCATGTATAACAGCCAGGCTGTAACCTTAAAGAACAGCACACAGGGCACATTTCTTGAAGGGCAGCCTCTGCTTTGCAACTGCACTTTGCCTCTATTTGGCTCTTTCCAGTTTTTAATCTTCTTGTAATTAGAAATGGTGACTTCTTTGCAGAAATAATAAGCAGGTCCTAAATAGTGCTGGTATTCTGTCGTTTCTTTCACTGAGGTGTTAAACCCATGTCTGGACTGTACCACTTCAGACTGCAGAGGGAGACTTGCATGACTGAGTGCTCCTACATAAGCCGCAGCTGCCCCTTGGACATAGAAGGGTAGATGCTGCAGAGAAGGAGTGAGTTGTACGAAGGAGCCACGTCTGCAGTCTGAAATGGTATAGCCTAAACACGATTTATTGCCTCAGTGCAAATTGCTCAGCGCTAGGAATTGTAATAACAACTGGAATTTTTAAGCAGCGTAGCTACTACAGGGCAGTCTGATCGGTGGCAGGATTGCACCACTTGTGACTTACCAGACTGAATGTAGCCTACCGGGGTTTAATGAATCATTTGTGCACCCTCCCTACCGGGGCTACAAAAAACACCATGGGATTATGTGGGCTGTTTGGCTGGTGAGTGTGAGGCTGTGGAGATCTGACGTGTGGCAAGCCACGCTCTGTAGTAAAAGCTTAAACAGTTTCAGGTCAAGAGGTGGTGTCACACGTCACACTGAAGCAGGTGGGGGAGGAAGCAGAAGCAAGAGTTGCCATTCCTCCTACGTCATTACTAGCGTAACCGACAAAAAACATGTGCAGAGGTGGTACTGTTGCTTGCACATCTTGCCTCTCCCCCCCCCCCACCTCTTAAGGCCAGAATAGCAATGCAAGGCAGCATTGGTCTTCTTCCACCTGAGGTGTTGTGTGGTGTGAGGCCACCTTGGTCTGGCCCCTTTCCAACAGTTTCTTCTCCCTCTCTAGAAAAATAATAGCGAGAACTGCTCAAAATAGCTGCTACAATAAGCCAAGTTCTTATTTTTTTTGTTTCTGTTTTTGTGTAAATGTTTGTAAATTGGTCAGCGGCTATATAAATTGAGGTTTAAAGAAAAAATATCTTGAAAATTTTAACCTTTTTCGAGAAGTACGGGACTTCTTTTAGATCTGCTGTAGCACAATTTGTGCCTCTCCTATTTATTGCCGACCAGTTCATATGTTAACAGATGATACTTTTCTCTGATGTCAAACTTTCTTTTCCTCTTTTAAGTTTAATATTTTTATTGTGTCAAAGGTGAATAAAGTTTCTGTAAATAAAGCCACCTTTTTGTGTGCCATTGGTTTTCTTTCAGGCCCAAATTTGAGCCTCTGTAGGTGTCTGGTACTTTGAACAACCAAAATAATTAGATTTGCAAACAATTGTTTTGTCTGACCACAGTAGCCCATGTCTCAGAGTTGCCAACTGACCTGGAGAAAAGTGCCCTGTTCCTTTTAACAGAGCTAGGTAGCCCACTTCTGAGGTTTTTGTGGTGGAGATGGCTTCCTGCCAGTGCAACCAACACACTTCTGGTCTGTACCTTATGGGCATTCCACGGGGGAAATAAATGGCACCTCTCTAAGGCACAGATAGCACAGCAAGCTCACCAAAGTCCATAACAACCCCAGCAGCACCCACTAACCAGGCACAGCCAATCACTGCCTACCAGTCCAGCAACTGCCCCTCAGTGCCACTCCCTACTCCACAGAGAGCCAGAAAACAAGGAGGGGAAAGACCCAGTGAGAGCACAATCCCAAAAGCGGTCTCCCCCCTGCCCAGCCCATAGAGGAAGTGCACCCCTTCACTGGCAAGGGTCTGAGTGGCAGCAGAAATGCTGCCCACATGGAACCATCCCTGTTCCAAGCCACCCACCACCTTCCCTTGGAAAACTAGAAAAAGGGGGGAAAGAACAGTCCAGGCTTGAGTCCACCCTCACTGTGTGCATGCACACACGTGCACACACACAAGACTGGCATATCCTAACCCCTGGGCCACACACAGAACATCACACAGACAGGTGTAGCTCAATGGAAAGGCAGTGGGATAGCATGCCCCGGGATCCTGTTTCAGTCTTCTCATGGGGAGAGGGTAGTGGCAGCTGAAGGGGAGATTGGTGCAGGAAGCCCTAGGGGGAAGTCACAGATGGAGGAAGGAAGGGGTGTGGAGCAGGTCTTCTCCACTTAAAACCAGTCAAGGACAGTGTTGTAGATCACCCCAGACTTAATTGAATGGCAAATCACGATGATGTGTGAGGAACTGGTTTGACAGCTGCCTCTGTCTTGAATGGCTCCTGTGTCTTTGTGAGCTGCTCCAAGTGACATGGGGAGGACAGGCTGAGCAGTCCCTAGATCAGCATGTATGCGAGTGGGGCAGACTTGCCATGTGATGCTAAATGCCTTCTCTGTGCCTCGCTCACCGCAAAAGTGCAATGCCGTGTGCTCGAAGTGTGCACATGAGATACCTGTGCTGCATGCTTTACCTCCTGAACTCTGGGGCATCCTGGCTGGGGTTTATGTAGTGCTGGGGGGGGGGGGATTGGGGTCAAAGGGGGGGGGGTTGGA